GTATCAGCTGGGTCTTTAGCTGGAGCTAACAGCCATAATCCTAAGGAAGACTTCTTCAGGTGACCTGGGGTTCCTTAGAGCATGATGATTGGATTCCAAGTGAACATCCCCAAATACATGGAACTGCAGGACCTTTATATCTGGCCTTGCTTAGTCACATAACACCACTTTTCAATAGTCACAGCCTTGTGTTCAATGCAGAAATGCATAGTCTCCAACAGAGGATTGTTGGTTTCACCTAGGAGAAAGAGTTTGTGATTGGGGAGATATGTGACATGTTAGAAAATAGAACATCCCATGTTACTGCACACAAAACAACTTACACATTTTCTTTAACAATTTCCTTCTCTTTTCAGGCAAGAAATCATTCATTATCTTTCAAATATCCAAAACCTTTGTAAAAATATTTTTAATCTTTAATTTAATTCCTAGGATGTTGTGTGCATCTCTTCATTAATACATTCAGGAAAGTTATGCAAGATAAATGAAACATCACATAATTCATTTTCTTGGAAGGGTAATGTTGCATGTATTAAATGTGAAGAAGACTACCAATACAGGTAAAATTACTTTTCTGCTTGTTTCAATACAATATTTAAGAATATTAAGTCATTTGTACAAAATAACATAAGTTTCTGATTTTACTTTTGATTAATATCTTATTACTCATTTAATGTTAGAATAAAAATATTTGCATATTTTCTACTAATTTTGGTGTTAATTTTAAATAAGTTTTTATGGAATTCTCAAAAATGATTTGGGCAAGAAGTTATAATATAAATATTATATTTTATAATGGAAGTTTTAAGGTATATAAAAATATTTGAAGAAGAAATGTGAATCCCTACCATATTATTTTTCTTTTATACATATAGTGTTAAAATTTGAAAGAGTAACCACCTCTTCCTCTAATTTACAAACCTCAGCTAATGGTTGTTAGTTAGGGTCTAGTCAGACTTTTAGGTGTAGCACTTACTTTTTTGCCAAAAATTACACATTTGTAAATGATATTCTGGCATATAATTTTAGTTCACTTTAAATAGCTTTATAGGTATTTTCTCACACCATTAAAAAATACAATTTGTACTGTTCACACTTGCTTGAGTTTTATCTCGCTGCTTAAAGAAAATTCTGTTGGACTTTATTAAAGAACAGTAAATAACCTCACAAATTTAGAGTATTTATAAAATTATAAAATTAAAAGCTGGGGTATAATGTACCCTTAAATACACCAAAAGAAGCATCATAGATATATATTGCAAAGTACATTCATGAATTTTAAAGCAGCAGAAATTCAAAATTTCTAAAAAAATAAGTTGTTGAAAAGTGACTTTTCACAAAAGGATGAAGAGAAGAAACTTCATCATTAGATCTTGGATGGTCTAATAAATTGAACAAATTTGTGCACGTATTGGTGTGTTTTATCAACACACCAATAAATGCAATTAGTATTATTTCAAAAATAATGGCTTTTTAATTTACTATTTTTGGTTCTTTGCCTAATAGTGCTGGCATATTTGTGAAT